ACTAAAATAGGTTGTTCAGCTTTTGAACATACTGTCATCATACAATCACAGAAGGCCATAGTAGCTTTCAACCGAGTCCTTGTGCTGAAAAGATACAAATGCAAATTACCCCAGAAATAAGCACATGCCAATGTCTTTCTTAGGCCTAAAAGTACCACAACATAGCAATTTCACTGAATGACATGCTATTATTTCTGTACTTATTTACATTTCAGACACTACACATCAGAAATTCAAACATCAGTCTCTTAGTGCTAAATAGTCTGGTTATTTATATTCTTGGGGAAAGGAAACAGAAATAGAATTGTCCATATGAGCTTAAAGAGATGCTTTATGTATTACTGCCCCTGAACGTATTTCTGAAATATCAAATAGTTGTTGGTTTTTTGTATAGATTTTATTACTTTTTATAGAGTTAGGGATAAGGTGGGGTCTGGATTAGGGTTGGGATTTGGGTTAGGGTTAGGGTTGGGGTTAGTTTTTACCTTGACAACAAGCTCAGTATAGAAGTTAAACTCATCCTCAGCATAATTTCAACAAACCAGTTAGTTAAATGCATCTCTCTGATGTGTCCCAGCTAATTGCAGTAGCTTCACTTCTGATCATTAAGAATGCATGAAGGTTTTAAGAGGAACATATGAACTCCAAGACAAGTTAAAGAAGGAAATGTAAAGAAAAAAACTGAATAGGCAACTTGACATCGATAACTGGGAAAATTTTTAGAATAGATCATTATGTAATCACCTTGTAAGCAATCTGTTCAAAATGTATTTATCAATATGATTAACCTTTTCTCCTTTTCTAATTTGATAACTTCTTTTATAGATTATGAAGTTGCTTTAAATATATATATATATATATATATATATATATATATATATATATATATATATATATATATATATATATATATATAAATTTTAGCAAAGTGTTTGATCAAACTGAAAACAACAGCATTAAATTTTAACAGAGACAAATGCATATTCTTAACTTAGGAAGCAAAATTAAAATACATGATTGCGGGGTAAGAATTGGCTGACTTGATTAAAGAAATTGTAAAAAATAAATCTTGGAAAAGTGGTTGACCACAAACTAAGTACAAGGCAGCAAGATAGTTGGCTATAAAAAGACAAATACTGTATAAGATGAATATAATTTTCAAATTATGGAAAGTATCTCTTATTTTATTGTGCTATGCTCAGATTCCATTGTAGATGCTGTGTGGGTTATGAGCACCACACTCAGAAATACTCAAATAACAATTTCAGAGGAGGAAAGGTCTAAAAATTAAGTTCTGAAGAGATATTGATGAAAATGAGCATGGTCATACTGAAAAGAAGGCCTGAGATGGAGATAAGAAAGCACTAATTGAATATCTGAAAAAAATGTCACACGAAAGGACAAAACATGTTGTCCATGATTCCAGAGCAAAGACATAGTATAATTAATTTCAGTTACAGGAAGGCAGTTTTCAACTGAATTGATCTTTAAAATGAAAAATAAACACACACACACACTTTTTGTAAAAGTGAGAACAGTTTGACACTGGAGCCAATAATCATTTTATCTGGATATGTTCAAGTGGAGACTGTTATGGATGTGTTATTTTGATACCAGGGTTTCAGTTTGATCCTTTCCAACTCCATGAATATAATCAAACCATACAGTATAGTGCTTGTTTCAGCTTGGTCCAATCATTCTCTCTCAGCTCTAAGAAGCCCTAGGAAGGAGACATTGGCAAAGTACTTTCAAACTCTTACCAACACACACACAACACATATACACACACAAGAAGACAATCTCTCTCTCTCTCTCTCTCTCTCTCTCTCTCTCTCTCTCCCCCCTACCTACCTCCCTGTCTCTCATAGCAAATTTAAAGGCCAAATTATTTTCCTATAGAATCAGATAAAGCAGATATAGATGTTACAAGCTGTTAGAGACAGAAAATAATTTTACGGTTCCATATTGTTTTGTAAAGCATATATTCTTTCTCAGAATAACGAATGGGAAGCTTTGTATGTGGGAAATTCGCCTTCAAATACCATCTTGGAATTGACATATTTGACCCCCCTAAAAAGTTAAATCTGTTACAGTCTAATTATCTTTGCAAATATGGAATTCTCAATGTTTTATATTAGCTACTAGACAGATGGGCTGTGTAATAGCACGTTAATTCAGATTTGATCTTTATGATCATGTTAGCGTCTTCAGAATACCTAGATAAAAATGTTCAGCTAGCTGCTGAAGATATGATCTTCAACACACTAACACTGATTCATATAATGCGCTTATGTGATATAGTAGATATATTTTAGTAGTTATTTTACAGATTAATTTTGATCTGCAAGAATAATTGAGTTGGCAAATGTTGATGAATTTTCAATGACTAATAGTTTTAAAATTAGCAGGAAGACAATTGAAATGGATACTGTATTGCACATTCAGTTACTAAGTTTTACCAATTATATTTGATCTAAATATTCCTTTTGCATTTGAACAAGTATTTTATTGCTGAATAAAAAAAAATCAAATTGATAATCCTAGCTGAAGATAATTTAAAAACTTGAATTGCATATCTCATTCATATAAATTCCTATTCTCTTATTGTTAAATGTTAATAGTTTAACTGGGTAAAATGAGTATATGTAATATTAGCTTTGATTTATATATGAATATTTTAATTTGGGGGGCTTTTTTCTCTTTTCTCCTTTTTCAGATAAGTACAAATAAAGTACATTTTAAAAACTACTTGAAATTTTTTTTGCATATGGTTCTCTCTCAAAAGCCTCTTTATAATGATGATGAAGCAATTATATGTAACGCTTAGTTTTTATTACAGTAACCTGTTTTTCAATAATGTGTCAAAATCTGAACATTTTGTCTAATTTCCTGTAACCTAAGATTCCTGGAAATTAATACAAAAATGTTACCATAAAATAAATTGATCATAAAACTTAGCCCAGAATTCATTATATGTATATTTCTAACACTGAGTCTGTTAAAAGCATATTTATCCACCCACGTGAGACATATGGAATTTTGTTAAGTACTTTTGTTAATTTTTATTGCCTGGATGTCTCACTCTAAGTTGAATATGTTTTCAGTTTTTAAAATGCACACAGAAGTTATTAGATTTAAAGATCATTTCACAGAATAACAGAAACCTATAAAGATTAAAGAGTAAATTGGAAACAAGCTGTTCAATCTTAATCTGTTAGGAAATGTAAGGTAAAATGCATGATTTTGTTGTTGTTTATTTTGAAGTTGTAAGAACAAATAAATATGGCATTTACTATTTCTTTTTTTTTTTCAACAAGACATCACTTTTATCTAATACAGCGGTTCTCAACCTATGGGTCGCGACCCCATTTGGGGTCGATCGACCATTTCACGGGGGTCGCCAAGCAAAGCTGTCCGCCATTTTTTTTGTCCGCCATTTTTTTCCCCTTTTCCGGCGGGTGCCTTACCTCCCTTGGGTTGGGCCAGCTGGTGGTCAGCCTGCTCCGTCTCTGCCGCTTGCCAGCTACGCCTCGGCCGGCACAGGGGGCGGAACCACACATGTGCGGCGCTCCCGGGCAGGGAAAGTCCTCGACTTACGACCGGTTGGGTAGTCCTCGACTTACAACCGGTTTTGTCCTCGACTTACGACTGGTTTAGTCGACTTACGACTGGTTTAGTCCTCGACTTACGACCGGTTGGGGGGTCACGGCATTAAAAAGGTTGAGAACCACTGATCTAATAGGAATCATTTTAAGTCATCTAACTGAAAAATCTTCAGTTCATACCCTAAAAGATATTATAGAGTATGGACATTTTGACAAACACCTACTTTCAGGAATATAGACAGTAAGAGACATCCAAGCAGAAAAACATTGAAGTTTGAATATTTTTTTGAGGATACAGAGTATTACTGGGTTAATAATTTGAAATGAAGTTTTCATTTTACCTGTTAAAAAGTGGTCTAGAAATTGAACAACAGCATAAAAAAATGAAGAGGGTATAAGGTATCTACATTTCAAACTCTCTTGAGTTTAAACCCAGCATCTTTTCCTTCTGCCTTTTCCCCAGATTACTGAAAACTCTCCTTTACATGCTATTAACTCTATGGGGGGTGGGGGGAGAGACTGATTGCTTTGTACAAACTAATTCATTGCCCTGGAAATGTGCTAATGTTCCTCCTGAGTAGGAGTTAGAAACATTTCCCTCAATCAAGGAGCAGACAAACCACTTTGATACCTGTCAAAGATGTTTACATAACAAGATCTTAAAAAGTTTATTTTTACCTTGAATTTACTTGTTAAAATTTAACACAGATGCAGATTTACAGTGATCTGCAGCCTTTACATCTTAGCAGATTCTCAGGTATCACCCTAAAAAGTATATGAACATAGGTAACTGGAACCATGTGGCTAGTGGAGAACAGACGTTGAGGAAACAAAAGGGCCTGATTATCTGGCTGGCTGCAGGTTGCACAGTACATCTCTGCCATAAGAATATTTTAAACTTCTTATCCACAATCCGTTCCACAGTCTTAAGATGAAAAACTCAAAATATGTTCTCATGTGCCTGCAGCAAAGGAACAAGTTGTGCACAAAGGAACAAGTTGCACCAACAGTTATAGCATTTATATTCATGGATTTGTATTATCTTCATACATGGGCATCTGGGTTAAGTAACATGGATAAGGACATAATCACAAAAATTCGGTGACTTATGTATTTGCATTAAACATCATGTTGTTATTTTAGCATAACTGCAGTTTGCTGTGGATGCTGCTGTTCCCATATGCTGTTTTATATTGGAAGGAATGTTTCTAGACCAGTTTTCCAGCTGGATGATCAAGTCTGCATTGCAGCCCGGAATGCCTATGTCTGTTTCATCAGATACAGCACAAATTATGTTAATTCCTGATGAGGTCAGATGGCCATGACATAGAAAGTACATTTAAAATTAAATATGGAATCAGACCATTTTTAAAAAATGTATAGTACACTATTAAATATGTCTGTGACTTCAGTATCAGGAAGAAAGTTCTACAATTAAATCTTAAAGAAACAACTTACCTATCCTGATAAGTAGTGATGGCAATACTAGGAAGCGTCAATAAAGGCAAAGTTGTGGGTCTAGAAATGTTATCTGGTGTTCTTGCTTTTTCACTCTGTCGTTGAGATAATGGTGGTAATAATAAATTACCAGAGCAGCATCTTCTTCCTCTCCAGAGATCTATGCCGAGGGTGTTGCTGGACGCACTATAAGACTTGCTGAGACGACATTCTAAATAATCTTTTGCACTCTAAAAGAACAAATAAAAAATTGAATTACATAAGATACCATTTCATAAAGCTAAATATAAAAATTTAGAATTGCAGCACTAGTTAATTACAAAATTGAACACAGACAGTTCCTATAAAATGGATTCTTAAAATAAGCATTAAATTTCACACTAAAAAGAAAAGTTACAAATGAGGAAAAATGAAATGTGCTGCAATTCAACCATTAGTCTGAATGTAAATATTAAGCATATCATTAACTCTTACACATGACTCAATAGGTTATAGTATTACTTTTATAATAAATTGTTTTCTTTCTTCACAAAAGCTTTAATTTATTCCATGTCCTCCCAAAATTTCATTTCAATTTTTGCAAATCCCAACTAGGATTTGAACCCTATTCAGACACTAAATGAAAACTGAACTACTGGGATGTAAGCATTATCAGTATCTACACACACATACACCTCTCTTTCTATGTAATGGAAAAGAAATTGAAACTGAATATGGTTGCATTGTTTGAATGATCAGAAACACTATTTCAGCTAACTACAAGTAAAGAGTCTCACTGGAGTGGAGCCAATAACCCTTCAACAACAGTAAGAAAGTAATGTTGACTAAAGGACTTGAAAAAAGGCAAGAAATATTTGCCCAAATTGAGCTAACAAACAACAAAATTGGAAGCACTGAATATAGTATATGTAAAGAGATATACACTGGGCAAAAACAAAATTTTAATTTTACTTACATATCAATCAGAAAAAAAAACTTTGGATAGGGTGCTTACTTAAGTGAAATTGTTGACATTGCGTACAGATATTGTTAAAAGCCAAAGTCTTTGTTACTGGTCATTAAGAAAAAAATGTTGGAAATAAAAATGCCAAGATCTTATGGGATAACCATATTTCAAACACACACCTGCTTCTTCTTTAAAACAATATTGTAGAACTAGAAAATATACCACAAAGTTACCTAAAATTATTAAGGATAGAACAATACCCCTAATAGAATATGTTAGTGTTTGAGCTTTTTAAAAAACATGTATTAGAGCACTGTGATCAACATCAGACATATATTTGATCAATATCACTTATATTTGGAGACTATCCTATGGTAGATGACACAATAGGATATGTTTTATTTTTTATATAAATGTTTATTAAGAGTTTTACAAGGAACATAAAAACTAACACAAACTAATAAAAAGAAAAAAGACAAAAAAGAAAGACAAAAGACAAAAATGCAGAAAGAAGAAACAAAAATAAAATGAAGGGGGTTCCTATCTCCTTTGCAGCAAAAATACACACAGTTACAAAATTATCTCTTATTTTATTGTAAAAGAAAGCTAATTCCTTTCTATCGTCCAGTATTTATCTTATCATCAAAACCACAAATTATAAGTACATTTTTCCCATTTTATGGAAACAGTCTATAAGTCAGCCATAAATATAGATATTGTTTTCTCTCTAAGCAAAAAAGTTATTTAAGCCATCTCTGAAAGTTTTATCATCTTCAACCATCATTTTATAATAACTTGTTTTCTTCACAAAGTATTAATTTATTCAATAAATTTATATTTGGACAATATTCTACAACAGAAGATGTTACATACAAGTTAAAAGCCATCAATATAATCAGCATTAAAGCCTTAATAAGTATCTAACAACAATACAGGATTAGTTATATTTTATCTGAAACAGACGGACAGACATATGTATGTGTGCATATACTTACACCTTCTGTAGGGACAGTCATTACACTCCTACTTTTCTTCATGATGGTGATGGAAAATCACTTCAATTATAAGCACCCTTTTCAACTGTGCTTCTACCTAACCAATAAACCTGGTCAAAAAAGGAAGGAGAAAACCATATTTCAGTTATTTGTCTTCGAATTTAAGAATGGAAACAAGGGTCTGCTTTGCACATTGCCAAGAATGGTAGAAATGTTTGACAAATTATTCATGAACATGATATTTTCCCTACCAGGTAAGAACAAGTAGTCCTTGACGTACGACCACAGTTGAGCCCAAAGTTTCTGTGGTTAAGTGAGACGTTTGTTGTGTTTTGCCCCATTTTACGACCTTTCTTGCCTCAGTTGTTAAGTGAACCACTGCAGCTGTTCCATGCCAATTCAGCCATCCCAAGTCAGCAGAGCGGGGCCGGCTACACATACCCAGCCATGCCTACCTGGCCACACCCACCTGGCCATACTGAGTCAGCCACATCGAGTGAGCTGTGTGAAGCCAGCCACGTTCAGCTGGCCACCCAGTCACGCCTACCCAGCCTCACCCACCTGGCCCTTTGAGGACAACCATAATGCTGATGCAGCCCTCAGTGAAATTGAGTTTGACACCCCTGATAATAATAATAATAATAATAATAATAATAATAATAATAATAATAATAATAATTTAATTTATACCCCGCCCTTCTCCTCATAGGACTCAGGGCGGCTAACAGCCTCATAAAAACCACAATACAATACAATAACATCTATATTAAAAACCGAATTAAAAGGAAATATTTAAGAAGGCCAATCATTAAAATTATCCTTAAAATTACCCTTAAAAAACCCCGCTAAAATTCCCTAGGCCAGACCCGCTTGTTGAAAAAGCCAT